AAGTGTTAAAAAGCAAAGATGCCACCTTGAGGACTAAGGTGCACTTGACCCAAGTCATGGTATTTTCATGTCACCTCATAGGCATGCAGAAGCTGTACAATGAATAAGGAAGATGGAAGGATTGATGCATTTGAATTATGGTGTTGGTGAAGAACATTGAATATACCATGGGCTGCCAGAAGAATGGACACATCTGTCTTTGAAGTACAGCCAGAATGCTCCTTAGAAGCGAAGATGGTGAGACTTGTTTCAGTAATTCCGACACGTTACTAGGAGGGACCAGTCCCTGGAAAAGGACATCTTGCTTAGGAGAGAGTCAGCAAAAGAGAGGAAGATCCTCAACAAGAAAGATTGACACAATGGCTGCAACAATGCGCTCAAAGATCGCAGCGATTTTAAGGACGGCGCAGGACCGACAGCGTTTTGTTTTGTTACACATGCTGTCAGTATGAGTCGGAACTGCCAAGAGGGCACCTCACAACAGATTGAGAAAGGCTGACAGTCTGGAAGGTAACACATGAGTAGCTACTAGAACGCTTACCCGTTGCCCTTGATTCAATTCTGACTCATGGCAACCTCACGCGCGGTACAATCGCTCTGAACTCATCTCTGGGGTCAATCCCGCTGCCGTTAAAATCGTGTACAATCACGAACATCTGAAAAGTCTACAGAATCTTTATCTTCTCTTACCAGATACATAAATTAAAACTGCTATAAAGTGTTTCCCACAAATCAGTTTTACAATTTCATGCTTGATAAATTTTAACTCTTAAACGCTAAAGAAATAAATTTAATTCTATTACTGCTTAAAACACAATCACTATTTAACAGTAGACCAAACCACTACAACTAACCAAATACGTAAATATCATGTCTATCGTTAAACAACTTAAATAGCCTTGCCGGAACAAGGCCTCAAAAAATTGGTTTAAGACTCAGAGTTGTTCCTCTCCACGGAAATCTTTAGTAAAAGGCGAAAGATTTATACGATCTGAAGAGAAACCAGAGTATACTCCGCTACTTTTGTAACTCATACCTCGGGTAACAGAAAGTCCTAGTTCACTGATGGTGACTAGCTGTGGGGCAACCCAATGCCTGAACAAAAGTTTTTACAGAATTTTGTAATAGAACTTGTATTTTGGAAATACGAGTCTAGTAAAAGTTAAAAATTTTGCCGTTTTAATCTTGTACTATGTGCAGTGCATTTTGGGTATGCAAATAAGTGAGTCACCACCCTTTCTATTCTGGAAATACCTTAGTGTTCACACGATGGCTCTGGACCACCACTAGGTGGCGAAGCGGAGGCTGGGCTGGCTGGGATCAAACCCCGTCCGGGTTAGAGATGTGATTTCATGTTTCGTATGTTTGTACGTCTGTCATTTTTTTAAAATAAAGAATTTGTTCCTAGATTGAAAAAGATAAAATCAGTGGAGAAACTATTAACACAAAATTCCGGATCGTAGTTCCTCCCTCGGATGGGGAGTGAGGCGCGAGACTGAGGAAGAGCACACAGGATTAATTTTGAGAACATCCTTTTTCTTAAACTGCATGGTGTGCCCGTGGGTGTTCATTTTATTATTCCTTTAAACCGCACACCTACGGGATATACGCTCTTGAGTACTCTGCGTTTTTGTCTGCAGTTTGAGAGCAAATCCTGACGAGAGGATGTTTGGAACTTTTTGGGCGCTGGCTTCAGGTTTCCCGCCCCACGGGACGCTGCGGTTGGGGATGAAATCTTGTTATTCCAGTTTCAGACCTCGCGTACCCCTATTCTTTGCTTTGCAAACGTGCTGTTCTCTCCTCCACGGCGCACACCTGGCCGCCCCCGTACAGAGACTCCTCCCTAACGCACGTGGGAACCGGACAGTCTTGGGAAGGGAAACTGCAGAGCTCTGACCCTTTTTGCTTTTCTCCAGCTGCTTGTGTAAGCATGCAGCTTCCCAGCTCGACGCCCACTCTCATACCTTCTCTGAACCGGCACACTTGTTTTTCACTTCATTTCCAGGTTCCTTTGCTGGCAAGTCAATTGTATCTGGCACGTATTTCCTTTAAATCTGTCAAATACATTTAAAAAAAAAAAAAAAAGATATAGTTCTCATACCATTACAATTCACCCGTTTAAAATGAACAATGTGTTTTAGAATATTCACAAGGTTGTACTATCATCACCACAACCTAATTTTCGAGCATTTTTCATCACTCGAAAAAGAAACCCCATAAGCTATGAGGCGGTTCTACTCTGTCCTATAGGGTCAATATGAGTCAGAACCGACTGGACAGCAGCAGGTTCGGTTTTTTGGCTTGGATTGGCTATATATACAATAAACTTCTAAAGGATTCCTTAGGGAAAATCCATATATTACACCTGTGTGATTTGAAGCAAATAAGTTAGCTTGTTCCGTAATTTCTTTCTTTTGGTTTTGGGAAGGAGAGAGGAGTTAGTTTTTAAAAATCTTGCTGATGTTTGCAATCTTCCAGTTTAGGGTGCCATGGATTGCTTTTGTGTGGCCTTTCTCGTCCTGGTCTTGTAACTCCCACACAAGTGATTGGATGGGACTGTGCAAATAAGGTAATCATGGCCCACCAAGGGGATTGGTCAGTTTTTCCATTCTGCTAGGCTTAAAAGAGTCAATTCCAGAGCAGAGAGGGGAGCTCACCACCACCAAGAGCGAGGAGCCAGGAACAGAGCACGTCCTTTGGGGGAGAAGTGCCAGAGAAACGGTGGCAGAACCAGGAGACCAGCAGGAGATGGTGCAGTGGGCTTCCCGGCCCATGGAGTGAAAGC